TTGCCCTCACATGCGTTTGAAGCCCAAGACATTACTGGCTACACCCTCGTCAAACGAAGACACCGAACAAAACCACAACCCCTAAACGCTAAACCCTAAACCCTAAACCCTCAACCTAAACCCTAAACCCTAAACCCTCACCTGGACAACGTTAAGAGCGTGGTAGAAATTATGATAAGGGTTCGGCAGATAATTTGCATGCAAAGCCCCGCAAAAATTCATAATTATTTCTCCGCGTATGCCGAGAGCAGCGCGTTCGGCGTAGTATACCAACAAGTCCCTTGCTCACAAACCCTAAACCCTAAACCCTAAACCCTAAACCCTAAACCCTAGACTCTAGGACATAAACCCGCGACGTTGGAGTGGAAGCAACTGGTGCAGCCGCTTCTATACAGCCCAACCCCAAAAGAACGGCCCGGCTGGGTTCGAGGGTTTAGGGTTTAGTGCCCAGGGTTTAGGGATTAGGGTTTAGGGTTTAGGGTTTAGGGTTTACCGGCAAAGGCGCACTGCCTCAGGCTCAGGAAGAGACAAAACATGAAAATCCCAGTCTAAGAGATCATGCATTGTGTAGGCCTTCACATCGAAGGAAGAAACGGAAGCGAGGTTAAACTGAGACTGCGCGCAAACCCTAAACCCTAAACCCTAAACCCTAAACCCTAAACCCTAAACTCTAAATCCTAGGCAGCATTCTTAGACCCCAAACGCAACGATAAACCCCAAACCCTTTTTCGCCAAAGGCGCAAACCACAGAAATACAAAATGCCTCAAAGAAACGCCCTGCAGCGATTAGGGTTTAGGGTTTAGGGTTTAGGGTCTAGGGTTTAGGGTTTAGGGTTTGGGGTTTAGGCCGAACCTGAATGACGTGGTTCGGCGGAATCCGCACTTTCAGTGAAGCGGTTGAGCACATCCACCAAACAGGATCTCTGCCTGCGCCCAAACCCTAAACCCTAAACCCTAAACCCTAAACCCTAAAGCCCAAACCCTAAACCGTAAGCCCCAGAAACGTAGCCCCTAGGCTTTGAGGTGAAACGACAGCCGGCAATTGTGCATTATCTCGCTACGCGTTAAACATTGAGAACAACTGTTTATCTAGGGTTTATTGATTAGGGTTTAGGGTTTAGGGTTTAGGGTTTACGTTGTTTTGGCGGCGGGGCTGACTGAGTATATGCGAGAGGCTCTTGTTTTCTTTTTGCTTCTTTTTGCTGTTCTTCTTCTTGAGGGTCTCCGCCGCCTTCTTCGTTTGCTTCTTGCTCTCTAAATGCAGTGTACGTACACCGTATAAACCACCGCGAGGGTTTAGGGTTTACGCCTCGTCAGTTAAGGGTTTGTTGCTGAGTGCCTATTGCTTGTGGATGAAGATTTCACGTTTCGAGCGGCCTCTGAGTGTAGTGTTTAGGGTTTAGGGTTTAGGATTTAGGGTTCAGAGTTCAGGGTTTAGCGTTTAGCGTTTAGGGTTTAAGGTTTAGGGTTTGGGCTTCAGGGTTTAGGGTTTAGGGTTAAGGGTTTACGGTTCAGTGTTTACGTTGAGGGCGCAGGGTTTAGCGTTCAGGGTTAAGGATTCAGCGCCCAGGGATTAGGGTTTAGCGGTTAGGGTTAAGGGTTTAGGGTTTAGGGTTTAGGGTTTAGGGTTTAGGGTTTAGGGTTTAGGGTTTGTCTTGCCTGCATTCTAGGCTTTCAATTGAATTATTATTTGCTTTTTCTGTGCGTTTTTCACCCCGCATTTCTCTGTAATATTCTTCTAACTCCAAACTGACATCGACTAAACTCGCGAGGCGCCGAGAAGCAGATAAAGGTCGCTCGCGTGCACGCTGCAAACCACAA